AGTCTTAGAAGAGTGCCTGTACACAGAGCTCAGTGTATTACATGAGTAATTCTCAATATATATTTCAACATATTATTGCTAAGGACACAATCAACGACGGCCGTCCACTTGGGCAGTCACAACCACTGCGCTTTCTCATTTGTCCCTTTCATCACCATATTAGAGAGACAGGAGAACCAATGGGAAAGGCACGATGGTTGTAAGCTCCCATTCGATCAGAGTGGAGTGCGCCTTGGAGCACAGGGAATGGAATCCAAGTAATGACCGGTGTTGGCCATCATTGGTGGACAGTAAGACAGCAATGCTGCTCAGTGATCCTAAGGTATGGTGGCTACATGAAAAAAATGATACTGTATGTGCGAATCTTCACTAATTGTATGCTATAAAACGATCGTTCGGAGAGAGTCGGCTTCGTTGATCTCTAGAAGCACTTCGGTACCATTATTGAATGGAATCTTTGTGGCACCGTCGAGTACGAGAAAGCCTTTCGAACACTTTGACTTCAGACGAATTCGACGAGCGAATCCGCGCACGTTTGTGCGCTTGAATGTGGCGTTGAATATCGGCTCACGAATTGAGTAGGCGAAATCTGAAACGAAAGTTTCACAGAACAGGAGGAATAGCGATGAACTCTACGACAACTCCCATGGCTCAATCCACCTTCCTTCCCATCATGAGTCATCCAGCTTCCCTGAAAGGAACACAGCTTTGGCCTCGGTTTTTGACCTATGAGACGCGCAAGTGTCGCTATATCCTTTGGTGAGCAGGATATTCAGTTCAGATTTCCGGGTTTTGTGACACCTTTTCATACTTCTCTCACAGCACAATTGCAGGGAAACCGAAATTCCACCTGTGGAAGTGAGATCTGGATAAATTTATGAGTTCAGGAAGCCAAGGTATGCAGTACCCCCGGAATTGGCGTGTAAGGTTATGCGTATAGAGCCGTGAATTCACACAACAAGTAGTACTGTGGGACTACATCGCAAGTTCATGCACGACGCACAGGATACGGTATCCGGTTAGAGGGGATCCTGAAAGTACTCCGTATTCGGGTATCTGAACCGGCTACGGTATGCCCGACTGTGTGCGTTCACGGCGCGATATATGCAGCATGAATTTCGGGGATACTTTATGCACCCTGTTTTCCTGAACTTAATCTTGTGAGTATCACACCCGTTGATCCCATCATAACGTCATCAGCAATTTTAGATTTGGATGCGCTACGCATTCTAGCTCTATTCAGAATCGTAGTGGCTTGTGACTAGGACAGTGCCTTTTTCATTGACCAGAAGCCATCCTATGTACACGCCAGTGTTCCTCGTACTTTCGGACAGATTAGGTTAAAAATTGCCCATTCTAACGGATGGAGGACTTCGTCAGCCCGGCAGAAGTCTACCTGGGATATGACTTCCGGACTGAGCACGTGGAAAGATGCGTAGTGCACTATCTTCTCCCATTAGCTGTGGCGTACGTACAGCTCTGATTCAATAAGTAAGAAAATCCCAGTGAACATTGGGCGCATACAATGGATTTAAAGGTGCACCAAAAAGGTCGGAACGAAGCGACTCGGATCGCGAGCACTTGTGATTTTTGCTCACCCTCAGGCTCATAGTAGTTGCTGCACGTGCACAACATATGGCCACGTGCGACTCCACCCTTTCTCGCGCTGCCGCACATGGATCTCCTAACCAACTCGTGTTGTGTTCATATTTTAAAGTTGAAAGTTTTTTTGGAAAAAATAGAAATGCAACTCACTCGGATGATTCGGTTCAAAGGCGATTTTATCGTTCAGTTTTTTGGCGATTTCACCAGCCAGCTCCCGCATGCTTGTCTTAACTTCGACTCCCATACCCTGCGCAGCTGCTCCTCTACGCGGTTCATTCCATAATACCTGAATCTGGTGGAATGGCAGACTGCTGCTCATTAGAAACTGGCTGAAATAGCAAAAATGTGATCATTCGTGAATTCTAAAAGTAAGAGCAAAATCATCATTGACGCTCTCAGGGACGGGGATTCACTAGTTATTACAAACGTTTTGAATGGAATGAAAAAAATCTCGGGGATACTGATCTCATAACATTTTTAAAAGGAATAGATAATAAACACGCAGATTACAGTCATGATCCCTAGTCATGCGGCACGCGTAGAGCCAGCCGGATCAGATTTCCCGTCAGCTGTATCGGACTCAGGATGACATCATTCGTAGAGAGGGACGCCCTAGCTGCGCTGCGTTCCGCGCCGCGTCGCACGCCCTGTAGCAGGGATCATGACTGTGCATGGGTGCAGACACTCAGCTATTTTGCCTTCCTTGATGCCCTTGATGCGCTCTCTGTCCACCCCCCCCCTGAAAGACGAGAAAGAAAGTATGTGGGGCAATGAATACGGCACCATGGTTAGATGCTCAAACAACCAGCGTAGTCTCTTTTTAATAAGTTTCGTTCAAATTTTTTCTTCTCACCAGCTGGTGCTACCAGTTCCGGTGGAAACGATAAGTCCGCTGCTCTTCTGTTTCACCATTGGTTGATCATCGATTGAAATTGTATAAGTCGAAACCTTCAAGAGGATTTCGTTACGGTTTCTGAGCATTGTAGCTCAACAATCCTCTTAGAAATACCTTTGCAGCTTCGTTTTCCCCGACAAAAACCTCATTCAGAGCCAGAATACAGCCGTTCTTCGCTTCTGGTTTTCGATTGAGGACTGTGACTCGAATTCGACTACGATTCGCATACCTGCAAAGTGACTGGATTGAATACTCCGGTGTAAAAGTGTGCACACCCTAGTTCAAAGGGGTTTTGTCCTCAAAGTAGGAGTGTTCAACAAGTTCCGGACCGCGTGACACACATGGTGTGTCATATTTTTTTCTCACTGCGCCGTTTCATACGGTCTATTTGGCACCTAAAAACACGTTCTGATGACTTGTTCATGCTCCGAAGTCATCAGAACGTGTTTTTAGGCATAGAATACACATATCTCATAGAAAGTGAAAGAAACAGATGAAATTGCTGATTATCGGTTTGAAAAGTAATGAAATTATGCGCAGATCCTCGAACAATGGCGGTCCGGAATGTGTTGAAGTCATAACGCACGATAAATTTGGTACTTGCTACTAGGTGCTACTTGGTATTGGTTGCACGGATGCTATACAGTGGGGGGAAAAATGACGAAAAAGCGAAGATAAACGCACAAATCCTGTGGAAAAACCGTCATGCGCGGCATTGAACTAGCATTTCGGACGAGTCTGCTGTTGGCACCATGCCAACGACCGCTTTGATAGACACGGCTCCACGTATGTATTCATATATCCATGTAGAGCTCTTCATAACAATTGTACTGCATAACTGAAGCCATAAGAGTACCGGCTTCAATGTGACTGCGCGGCCACTTGTGGGCGGTCAGTTGCGATGGGCGTTGGGCCTGCATGTTGCGCCTTGGCGCAAACAGTGCTCTTGGTTGGAAAAAGCGATAAGCAGCGCGTGGTCAAAGAAAAATATTTTCTGGTGTTAGGCGTATCGACCCTGTACGCCTTCTCGATTTACAAGTCTTTTGCCTTTTTAAAATAGTGCTAGCTCTCCACTGTTCATTCACATTCACGGACTCGACCAAAATTCCCAGCTAATGATGTGCCCTAATCCGTACTTTCCTGGTCGTTGACGCTGACGGACGCTAATGGTCGCTGGTGGACTCTGCCGCAAAGTATGGATGCAGCCTCCCGTGGGTGACTGGGTTTTCCCGTTAAGCAAGAACTGTGCCTCTAATAGATTTGTTCGCACCTCACCTTATCAAAGCAACGGAAAAACAACCGCCAACAGGGCGTCTAACTCACTTGAATTTTCCGTTTACAATTCGTTCAAAGACGTCATGTGGTGGATTCTTGCCGCCGATACAAAGGTGTCCCTCGGATCTGAAATCAATTCGTTTTGAAAAATTCCCACCTTGACGTGCATTCTTTACATTGGGCTTTTTTTTGAAAAGTCATCAACTGCGATCTGAATGTTCCTCTGTTTCTAGGAGCTTGGAAGATAAGACAGCAAATACCCGAAATAGAGTGAATTACGTGAGAATGAGTGACTTTGCAAGTGATATGTTACCAACGTGAGTAATGGGAAGGATTTTTGATACCAGAAGGAGTGATTGTCACGTGTGAGGGAACCCTTCTGTTTATAAGTGTCAAAACCCTACATGGTGAAAAGGAGTGAAGCCTAACGGATAACCTTGCAACAAATTCAAATGGTTCATGTAGGAACGTCAAACCCCAAGATTGTGCAGGTGGCTCCTCTTGAGTCAAGTGACTCCACCCAGCTGGCACCTGTCAGGTCGTTTGTTTGCATGCCTCTAGCCCGTAATCCCAACGCAGGTTGGAGGATGGGACCACCAAAGACAGACCCAGCGATTGTACATTGTGGATAGTGGCTTTCATTTGCGAGCCCAAAGTCGCGCAATGACTCTAGGGACGAAAAAAAGGCAAAAGAAAAATCATAGAGAAACCTACTAAGGACCTAACAGCCTCTCTGAACGAGTGTCCCGGACCTGCTCGTTTCATGCCAGAGAAGGGACATCCTGCCGTCTCTGGCTCATTGATCGTTCTTCGCATCATGCAGTGACAATACCATCTACACTGCGAAGCATAATCATAGTTCCACCCATGAATCTCACAAAATCCCGTCTTACACGACGTTTTCAAAAATGCCCCCATACAGAAAATGTGGTAATTACCAATACCAATTCGCATGCCAACAACAAAAACACTAACTCGAAAACTCTAGCTTGAAAAACAATTTTTTTTCGTTTTTTTTTCAAAAATGGTCGTTCTGACAACGCAGCAAAAATATAGTTCCACCGCATATTTTCCGGCTGCATCTCATTTTTGTTCGGTGAAACTTCTCATCATTATGACTTCTTGCCTCTTCTAGGCTATGGCAAGTGGAACTTCATTAATGGACCTCGAAAAAGGACAGATTATCGCAAAGAAGTCTCAAAAACTGTTGAATCGTCGAATGGCGCGGGATGCGGGCCGCACTCATCATGCTATCAACAATTTTTCCAAGGGACCTACAGGATATTGAGTTGAGAAGAGCTCTGGACATCCTCCTTTGCTGCCCGATCGGAATAAGCGCCGTATCTTGAGGAAAGCATCCAACTCTGCAGTGTCGTGTCGGGAAATTAAGTCATTTCGGAGGTTAATGTCTCGAAGGATACTGTTAGGCGTCTCTTGAAAAACTCCTGAGTTCACCCACAGGAGGAATATGAGTTAGGCACTGTTTCTAACGAAAAACCATCGCGAAAACCTAATTGGCTTTGCTCGAAGATGTTGCCGAAGGATAGCTTTTGGCTGCGGTGCCCTACTGCTTGTCTGTGTTGCTTTTTCAAGTTTTTTTCTCGCGGTCGTGTTTTCTGATGAGAAAAAATTCAACTGCGACGGCTCAGACGAAAACCGATTCCGCTGGCACTTAGGAAAGACAACTTTCATTTTCCCGAGAGGAACTTCAGTGGTGTGGTGTTATGGTCTGGCCATCGCATCAATGAACGTCTGAAACTGTGCTCCGTATGAAAAAAGAAATGATTTCTTCCGTCATCTAAAAGTCATGCGACGACGTCTCCTTGCTTTCTGGCGTAGAAATCAGCAAGAAAGTCCCGTTTTCATGCAGGATAATGCACCAGTTCATGACAGTCGAAGCACTCGAGCGTGATTCAGTCGTCACCAAACCGCTCTTTTGCCCTGGCCAGCGAGTAGCCCCGACTAAAACCCAATCGAGGATGTGAGGGGCTTCATGGTGCGTATGATCCATGAGAGTAATGCACAATTCCACAATGTCCGTGAGCTTAGGGAGTAATCATTGGGGCAGTCGGCCGAAAGCCTATTAAAATCTCTAATCGAACATGGGCAACCGTATTTTCCAACTTAATTGGAGAAATAGAGTTCCAATAGATTACTGGATCAAAATTTATTCATTTTATTGTACACTTGTTGGAATATTCGATTTGTTCGGTGGAACTATCATTTTGCTGCGTTGTCAGAACGACCATTTTTGAAAAAAATGACGAAAAAAATTTTTTTCAAGTTAGTGTTTGTTGTTGGCATGCGAATTGGTATTGGTAATTACCACATTTTTGTATGGGGGCATTTTGGAAAACTTCGTGTAAGACAGGATTTTGTGAGATTCATGGGTGGAACTATGATTATGCTTCGCAGTGTATTAGGTTGTACCGGGTAAAGTTCT